TTTCAACAGACATTTATAAAAAAAAACATTTCTAATGTTTCTCACCTTACGACTTTAAGTTTAACTACCACGACTGCAGGTTTTATTAAGCGATGAATACGTCTATAATTTATGAATTATCTGCAAACTAAACACTTGATGAATAGAATATATCTTTAAATTACAAGAATGCTTGCAAGCCTATCATTTGCCTGTCAGATTACTGTTTTACTAAATATCATACACTGTCTGGCAGCTCTATAGCCCTGAGATGCGGTTTAATTTTATGAAAACACGTTATTCACATAATTTATATATTTATTTCGATTGAAGGGGGCTTAATATTCGGGAGGTCACGGGTTATATTCTCGGCCATAATGCCGTATAACAAGATTTCGGCTTTCCTTCTATCCTCCAGAATAATCCGGGATCGAAATTTAAAAATAGACCACGATCTCTTCCTTCTACGTCCTTAAGAAGTCACGATCATTCACGATTTCAACGCTGCACTATAACCAGTGTTGTAGTAAAAGTTTCGACAAGCTAAGCGACTTCCATAACTAACCACGAACTCTTTTCCAAAATAATGGTTTGTTTATTTGGATGGTGGTTTCCCCTGCTCCATTATCCTACTACTTTTCCGTTTCTTTCCTTCTCTTGTGTTCTTCTGTGTTTTTCTTAACACGTACTGTGCTTAGTCTGTGAACAGTGTTGTAAATTCCGGATGATTTATCTTTTGCTGTCATCAATTTTAGGAGGATCCACAACAACAAACGACGAAACTAGTCCACCTCCTTCACCGCGAGGCTGCTCTGGTATCGTAACGGCCAACATTTCGGATAACAGACGCAGTCCTTCCTCTCCCGAAGACAACCATTTGGAGAGCGCAACAGTCGTCGGCATCAGAGACGATCGCTGCTCCAGTACTCCCCGGAGCAGTCCGGGTCTCCCATCCTCATCCTCCCACGTCTCCACAACGAATCACCATCACCATCACCACCACCTGAGCAACATCCTGGCCGGACACACGCATCACCACCCGGCTTTCTTGACCAGCGAATCTTACTTACCCGGAGCTGGACTGCACCTCGCTGGACGACCGAAATCACCGCAGGCGTTCGGCATGCACCAGCATTCCAGAGAACACAAGGACCTGGAGAACATGGACATCGAAGACGACGCAGATGAGGATGACGACTACGACAGTAAAGACGTGAAGAAGGAAAACGGATCGGGCTCCAGCAATAGTAACACCAGCAATGCAAACAACAACAACAATAACAATAACAAAAGAAAAAAGAAAACGCGCACTGTTTTCTCGAGAAGTCAAGTTTTCCAGTTAGAATCTACATTCGATATGAAACGATATTTATCGAGTTCTGAACGTGCAGGTTTAGCAGCATCCTTACATTTAACAGAAACTCAGGTAAAGATCTGGTTCCAAAACCGTCGTAACAAATGGAAAAGGCAATTGGCCGCCGAGTTGGAAGCGGCCAACATGGCGCACGCCGCTCAGAGGCTCGTTCGAGTTCCGATACT